CACACACACACACACACACACACACGCACACACACGCGCACACACACGCGCACACACACGCGCACACACACACAAAAAAATATATATATATATAGTTGTCACCAAAACAAAACCAGAGGCATGCGTGTACTTCGCTCTATCCGGTCCGCTTACAGATTCGTAACCATCCTCAGTAACGAAAAGAAAGGTGGAAACAGATCCAGTTCTATGCATTCATAGAATCAAGCAACGCAACAGTGAGAGACATGAGATGGTGATTACCGGGTAGACAGGTGCAGGCGACTAGGATGAGGAGCAAGCTAAGGAGCAGCCCCTGCTTCATCGTGATGGCGTCGCCGCCCCGAGTCCAGTGCTACGTGAAGAGAAGCTCGCAGCTGCACGCGCTCGTCCCGCCCAACTGCAACAGTCGTCCAAACTACTCAGCTACCGACACGCTCTCGTCAAATACACTGGTTTCATATGCACTACCAGTAGGCACCTGTCGAACCAGCACCTTTCTTCCCTGCTGCTGCATGTGCATGCAACCCCCTCCCCCTCACGCTTCTACTCTGAACTCTCCTATTCATTGTGAGCAACAGAGATCCGGCCCCACCACGCTGGACTACACACCTATCGGGGCGCGGGTTCGCTTGCCAAGTCAACCGAAAACCACCCCCCTAACCCTCCGCCTGCACGTCCTATGGTAGTACCCCCGTAACGACCGGCAGGGGCCCAATCCGCGGCAGCGGCCGTCGCCGCCCTGCACTTCCCGCCCGGCTTTTGCACTCCCTCACGCCCCTGAGTTTTTTCACTTTTCTACGTGCCGGCCAGTTTGCTCTCTGCTCTTGGTCAAATGCGGAAAACACTTGCTTCTAGAACCGGTACGACCAGGGTCGATAGAAAGGAAAGGACTTCGCAACCGATCTCGACGCTGCGAGTGGACCCAGATCAATGGGGATGGAGAGGGAAAGGGCCGAAGGGGGACGCACTTACTGCGGACCGCTACTCACTGCAGCTGGCCAACGAAGTTCAGGTACCAGCGAAAATCCCGCTGATGACAGCCACATCTATAAACTGGGGCTTGCTATTGGAGGATGCTCGTATCACTCCAATAGCAGGTTGCCACAGATGTTTCTGGAAAAAAAAAAAAAAAAAAAAAAAAAAACAAGAGAAGAGAGATGGCAGCAAGTATACCCTGAAGATGCTGCAAAAATCAGCTGGGGCAAGGTCCCACTTGCACGGATTAGGAGATTTCGGCCGTCGATCTCGGCTATCTACGGTCTCCATCTCTTAATTCGTGTAAGTGGGACCTAGCCCCTGGGCGATGCTGGGAACAGCTCAACGAAGCACCGAATCTCAGAGCAGCCACACTACTCTGGTTGGAGTCACTTCTGGCAACGCCGTAGGCGGTTGCGCTGATTACTCGAGGGTGCAAAATCGAGGCCCAATGCAAACGGTGTCTTTGGACTTTTGAATCAACCACCCACATATGCCGGGATTGCCCAACGTCAAGGCGGATATGAGACTGGTGGGCCAGAGTCTGGCATTCTTGGACGGAGGAGGAACTGGGTGCTCCCGGGGGGGATCCCAGAATGCCTACAGCTTGGGAAGGGTTGGGGATATGTGGCGCAAGCAGTTTGGGCAGTGGGGTTCTGGATCATCTGGATGGAAGGAAAACGGACTCAGTTTGAAGGAAAAGTTATGCCTGATCCAGAAAGTAAGTCCGGACGGCTCTAAGATCTCATCGGGGGGCGCCGCGGCTGGGAGGCTGCGCTAATTTGCGCTAATGTCGGCCTCTCCAAACCGGCGCCGGTAAGGGCAGCCAGCAGTCAGCGGGGAAGTGTGCCGGCTGATCCCGAACCCTGCTTCATCGCCAACCTCGCCATCGGGACGAGGAGCGATGGACCCGCCATAGTTCCCCATCTGAAGTACAGCCGGCGCTAATGTCGGCCTCTCCAAACCGGCGCCGGTAAGGGCAGCCAGCAGTCAGCGGGGAAGTGTGCCGGCTGATCCCGAACCCTGCTTCATCGCCAACCTCGCCATCGGGACGAGGAGCGATGGACCCGCCATACTTCCCCATCGGAAGTACAGCCGGATAGGAGTCCTCGCGGGGCAGCCCTGGAAATGGGTTGAGTCAGATGTTCTTACCAGAATTCACTGAATCTCTATCATTACCCTGGTGCTAAGTCCTTTGTCGAAGGGGGGGTTACTGTTTGCTGAAGCCAGCTTATGGTAGGTTGGCATGGATAGAGAATTTTTCACCGAGAGGATCGAGAAGGAGGAGAGGTAAAGACCCTCCCTCAACCGGACTGGTAGGAGATTGAAATGGCGAAAGGTATAGATCGAGAGACTGGAGGGCTTTTGAATCGGTAAGTGGGGTTCCCTCTTCCAATACGTTAGAGGGTTTTAAGGTTAGGTTGGCTTGTGGAAGAGTAGGTTAAGATGGTGGGAGTTTTGGGTGGTTGAAGAAGCCAAGGGAATGAGGAAGCCCGCTCACCGAGGGGAGGCCGTTTAGGGCAGCAGGCAGAAGATGAATGGCGCATTTCTACCTAGAATTAAGAGCATCAAGAAGTGGGAGAAAGTCAAAGTTGTTGACGTCATCCAATAAAAGGGCGACAGGAGGTGAGAATAGGGGACAGGGATGAGTGGGAAAGGAAGACTAGAATCAGGATCCTTCCCTTAATTCGACCCGGTGGTTAACTCGTAATTTAAGTTTTTGGAGGGCGAACATGGAAGGAGTCAGTGCAGGAAGAAAGGGGGGAGGTCGGAGGTCACCCCCTCCTCGCCCTCCGGAAATTGATTTTTGGGCGGAGGAGGACAGAACGAGGCATTCTATCGAGCAGTGGTACGACGAGGGAGTTGTCCAGTTAGTGGAGAACGTAGGGAGGGTGGTGATTGATGAGAAGAGAAAGAGGTTTAAGGTTAATGAATCCTTCGATGCAATCAAGGAAAGGTGGTTAAAAGAAAAAACGGTGATTTTTATTTTTTAAGATGACGCCCAGGACCTAACCAGAAGTGTAAAAGAAGATTTGATTAGGGGTCATGGAGACGGGTGGATGACGAGACGCCTATGTGACCCGAGTATTGGAAGAGGGCGGATTAAGTTCGAAAGCCCGAATGTAGCCTCGTATGTGGCGAAGGCCGTGGAGGTTGCAACTTGGTTGATTCAGAGAGGAACACTAAGGTTAAGCCTGAGAGGAAAGGATTACCCGGCGATGGTGAAGCCCTGGATGACGAAACCAGAGTTAAAGGAGTTGAAATTAAGAAAAGTGGAGACGAATTTTTGAATAATTGCTCTTCGGGTCCTGTTAGATGCAATGTGCTATTTGCCCTCAGCAGCGGAGGGGTTGATCGGGGGGGTTCTTCGCATGCACCCACCAGAAACAAACAGATCTAAACCGAAATTAATTAATATTAAGTTAGATATGGATCCGCAAGCGAGATTTAGAGTGGAAGATACCCTGACCATTGAATCCCCGAAACGTGAGTTGTGGTCTGTTGAATTAGCAACACCATATTCGGAGTGGTGTAGGAAGTGTCGGTGGTACTTTCACTCAGAAGAATCCTGCCTGAGACAGATGAGCGTAGGGCAAGGCCGAAGGTGGGCAAATCCAAGACTCCCCACTCAGCATCCTCAAGCGGGTCAGCGGCAAGGCCAAGGACAGAATCAGCAAGGTCCGGTGCCAAACCCGATTAATCAAGCCTCGTCGCAGTCTTTTTCTCACAAAGTGTCTGCCAATGGACCGGTTCAGGCCAGATTAGGTTCAGAAACGCTTCTTCGTCGTCAGCAAGGGCAACATTCGTCGGGGTTTCATCCAAGCCCTCAAGTGGGCTATTTAGGCGGAGCTGGTCAGCCAATGGGTACACAACTGAAACGATTATAGGGCTCAGAAACACTTCTTCGTAGTCAGCAAGGGCAACAATCGTCGGGGTTTCAACCAAGCCCTCAAGTGGGTTTCTCAGGCGGAGCTGGTCAGCCAATTGGCACACAGCTGAATGGATTACAGGGCGCATGTGGACCGACTTCCTTTTGTGAGGATCCGGGGGCGCCCTATTGGTTAGCTGAATAACCACCACCGCCGGGAAACTCTCTGAGGGCCCCATGACCTAACTCACTTTTTTGGATAAACGGGCAAGCTCAACCTTTCGTTCAGCAGGTGGGATTCCAGCATTGTTATCAGACAACAGATGGGCTTATACAGCCTCAAGAGAGGTATGATCCTCTAGGTTGCCAAGTGGTGGGTACCCCCACAGGGGTGTGTCGCCCTACACCAACAAGGGCTCATCAAGGGATGCTCAGAGGGAACGAAGGCTCCATGTTGGCTGTTCATCCTCGTACTCGCCAGTGGGAGGGCCCGGGCCATCAAGATTGCAGACTTCAGGAGGCCAGGATCCAGAGGGAAGGCAAAATCAAGATACAGGGAGGTCGCGGGGGACAGGTTACGTAGAACCTCGGGGTGGGGAAGTGGGAGATCGAAGAAGAGCGCCTTTGGAGCTTTCCTTATCCTCTCGCTCCAAGGTGGTGATACGGAGTGATTTCATAGGTGATGACCGTGCGTTGGGAGGGTCAGGCTTTCTCAGAGCGGAGGGCTCGGAGTCATCTACAGGAAGTTTAGGGGACCCTTTAAGAAGAAGGGAAAGAGATTCTGATACATTTAGCAAACGGGGCTATAGAGTCAGACATGCTCGGGACCCCCGGCCGCTGGAAAGAAGAATAGTCCCAGTAGTTTGCGCAATGATTGGTTCTACCGCATTCTTTCTGGGTCTGAATCGGGAAGATGGCAGACCTTTCCTCCGTCGGTGATTACAGACAGAACTCCTCTGTCTGGGGAAATTATAACAAGAACAAAGTTTTTATTTGGGAATACTTTCCCAGTGAGAATCATTCCTCGGACGGTTATGGTTAGCTGTCTAGTCCCGTTGGAGGGAAAGATTTTGAAGTTTTACTTTCCGCTCTTAGACGCTCAATTGGATCCTCCTGTGACGGAAGTGCTGACACAAGCTGGGGTGAAATGGTTCCACCTGGATGCAGTCAGAGACACGAACAACCATGAGTTAGAGGCTATTGCGGTGACCTAGGAAGTGTTGGTTGTCCTGTTGTGGGAGGTGAATGAGAAACTTCTAGAGAGAGTAAACCTACGTTCAAATTTTGTGATTGGTGCCCTGACCAAAGCATTGCCCGCGGCATCACAGTCACGCAACTCGAGGAGGAGCTCCCAACATAGCCCCATGCAACAATCCCCAAGACAAGAGGAACGAAGGTGGGGAGATGAACAAGATGATTGCCGCATCCAAATTCAGGTGGAAGTTGTAGCTGTCAATGGTTAAGCTGAAACTAACATCATGGAATGTATTACGGGGATTGGGAGAAACGACGAGAAGGGAGAAGATTGTATTTGCCTCCAATAAACGAAATTGGGCAAAGGAAAACTAGGCCAAATTCAAGGTTGGTGGGATGGCCCTCAGTACTGGTCACCAGCACAAGGCACAAAGGGAGGAGTGACTATCCTACTACACCGCGATCTTCAGGCCGACATCCTCGATGCAGAAACGAACCTTCGGGGAAAATGGGCGTGGGTGAGACTGCAAACATGTCAGCGGGAATGAATCATTATGACCATTTACGCGCCAAGTGGTCCAACTGAAAAAGCAAACTTCTTCCAGACTCTTCAGGGGATAGT